TCTGTGATCGGATTGAGACATCGATTCAAGAATATACTATGGGCATTCTTTAGCAGCTTCTGAGAGCCTGCAACAGGATTATTGTAACAAGGATTGAGATACCGGCCTAATTAAAAAGCAAGAGAAAATATATACGATGTTCCATGGTTCGTTAATCTAACTTAAATTCAGCAAATGGGTGGCTCACGGTAATTAGTGAGCCAACAGATAAGTACTAGCACATAAATCAGGCGTACGTGGGGATGCTATACAAAAAAGACTAGTTGAAGAGAAGTGGGGGTAATCCGATGGATACTAAATAGTAAAGATGCTAAGCTGTTGCATAAACTTCGCCAAAATAATCTACGTAAAAGCAGTATGACGTAGAATAAAGAAGGCAACAGAATGCTATATGGATCGAGAGTGTCGGAAGCAAAAGCGTGGTTCGTGATAACTGCCACTGAATCATCAAGTATACCATAAGCATGTCCCAACGGATGCGGAAACTAACAAGGACAAGGCCGCAACAGAAAATTTAGCCAAAAAAACAGTAGTATTGCTCTAAAATTTTCCAATCGTAAATAGAACGGAATAGGCTAAACGAAATATTTACTCGAAATTTGAAAAACGTACCGACGAGCTAAACGTCTGATGCGCGAAGTTAGCATCCGAATGAGGGAGTCGGGGGGAGGATGATGTTAGGAAATCTTCACTTGCAAAATCTAAAGAAAGGAAAACAAGAAATCAAAAAAGGGTAATTAAAAGTTACCAGGGGAGTCAGACCTCAAGTTTGAAGCTCCTGTGGAGAATAATGGAATAGAAATTAAGGAATGTTCCTGTGCCTCTTCGATCCCGTTTAGTCTTGTCTGGGCGGCCAACTTTTGAATTTGCTCCTAGATTAAATAATAGAGGCACAAGAGCAAGAAAACCTCTTTCTCTCGCAAAAGTGTTGCATATTCTTCCCGGGCGTGTATATTCTCTAACTCGAGGGATTCAATTTGCAAGTGGAGGCCATTGAGCTCATTCTGGAGGGCGGAAACCTGAAAATAAAGCTCTGATAATTATTTATACTTGATTATTATAGGACTCGAGCTTTTCTTTTTGTTGCCGGATCACAATGTTGGCATTCTTCAGTTCAGCGTCATAGTCTTCCAAAATTAATAACGCTAAGGTAACGAACCTTTTACTTCACTTGTTCCCTCGAGCAAAAGATCTCGTGTTACGGTGGAAATCTGATTTTTAAGGCTGCTTATGTGGTCACCCAACCAGGACATAACGACCAAAACCCAGGAGTTTCGTCGTAACACTTCAAGCTGTGTATTAACTTTCGCGCCAGAGTCTTAGTCTGTTAAATCAGGGCAACGTCACACGTATTTTTGCTTATTTCATTATGGACTTTCTTACAACCAACAGCTTACCCATCTAGTTGAAAAAATCTTTGTTTTTTGCAACTTCTTAGGGAGTTTCAAGCTCTTTTAAGAGATGACAATTTTGCAAATTCGCTAATCTTCGTCAATAAGTTACTTTAACTCACCTTATTGAGTTCGCCATTCACAATCAAAATTAGCGAAATAATCAGCTTTTGCTAGTGTTAATCATAGAAATATAAATGTGAACTCATTTTTATGTGTGAGCCAGGCGCGGATTGTGGCCATTTACAAAATGTTGATATCTAAAATAGT